ACACCCACCGATGCCACCGCAGTGCTGGGCCGCAGTGCACCTCTGCGCTGTTTATGGCAAATCACAAATCGGGGAGCAGGAGGATGCTTCCGGAACACTAACAGATAGTCCAGGCAATTAGCATGCTAGTCCCTTGGCTGCAGTAGCCTAATTTGAATTATTTCGTGTATCTGAAAGTAATGGTGAATTTTCTTAACAAAACTCTGTGGTTCCACATTCTTATTAGAGCGGACTGGCCTTCCCCACAGGAGGCGGCTTTCCTGTGCTTTTGCGGTAGAGACCCCACCACGTCGAGGAGACAGTCAAAATATAAAATGCAGTTTAAAAGAAAAGAGAGTTGAGACAAGAAGATGATTTTTAAAACCCTAGAAAAGAAAAGCCATATTAACCAGAGAGTGAGACACAGAGAAACGTCCGTGCAGTAAGGCAGGGAACGGAAAGAGCACTGGCAGGTGTGGCCCACGCACTGGCAGCGCCACGAGAGAACGACAACGCCCAAGGCAGAGCTGGCACCAATGGGCAGCGGGAGCGAGCTGCCCTGCCTCCACCTGTCTGGACACCTTCTCCCTTCCCAGATGCCCAGTTTCCACCTAGATCTGCAAAATATCATTCACGCAGCACCAGGCCCTCTGGAGCCAGCCCCCAGTGGATGGCAGCAGTGAGTGGGCAGGCTGGGGTCATCCTGGGGGCATGTTGCAGTTGCCATCCTGGGGGGTGTCGCAGTTGCCATGGGGGGGGTGTTGCAGTTGCCATGGAGGGGTTGCAGTTGCCATTGGGGGGTGTTGCAGTTGCCATGGGGGGGTGTTGCAGTTGCCATGGGGGGTGTTGCAGTTGCCATGGGGGGTGTTGCAGTTGCCATGGAGGGGTTGCAGTTGCCATTGGGGGGTGTTGCCGTTGGCTTCTAGAGTTCTGAAGAGATGGTCATTTCCACTGGCCCCTCCCCTGGGTACTTGCAGATGCCCCTGGGCCTTTCAAGGCCCAGTGGATGGTTGATACACCGCTCTACCGCTGGACCTCAGTCTGAGAAAGACTGCAAACAGGACAAATTAGAGTGAAAAACGGTAAGACTGGGCTAAGATAACTCCCCAGCAAGGTGCTCCTGGGAATGTCTCCAACAGACACACTTGCAGGTCTGCCAGCGAGGCAGATGCAGACTCTGCAGCGACAAGGGGCAGCCGGTCAGTGAGCCATGGGGTCAACAAAGTGTGGTTCATCCCACCACAGAATACTAAAGAACCCAGAGCTTCCCATCCTCTGACACGCTGAGATAGCCAAGGTACACTGCTCAGGGAAAACAGCACGGCAGACAGCGCCTTGTAGAGAAAGTTACCATTTGTGTAAAAAAGTAAAAGGAATAAATATAAGAACATACAGGTATATTTACTTACACATGCATGCATGAAAAACTCTGGGAAGAACCCGACGAAACAGATAAAGTAGCTGCTTGAAGGGGAAAGGTCGGGGGAAGTCGGGGCAGATGAGGAAGGGAACCTCCCACGGCGCCCGCGAACCACAGGAATGTATCAGCTCCTCGGTAATCAAAGAACGGAAGCTAACCTGAAAACCAAGCACAACACCGTAAAGACTCTATTGTCCTGAGTTTAAACATTTGGCAATGAGGCTTATGTCCTTTGTAGCTGGTATCAGGTAAATCCTACATCCGGGCCTTCTCTACCTAAATAAAGCATTACTCTTTTATTTCAGGAGCCCGTTATTGGGCACCCACAGGAAGCCAGGCCAGGGAATATCTGCGGTCTCTGCTACTCTGGGAATGAGGAGGGGAGGCAGGTGGGTGGGGACAGAACTGATCTTGGAAAGTTCACGGGGACTAGTGGAGGCCAGGTCAGGGAGCTCACTTGGAAGTACATTTACTTTGATAGCCCTTTTATAAGTTCATATCAAGAAAGATTTTAAATGTCCCTGTAAAAAACATTCATACAGAACCAACGCCTGTGCAAGATTTGTTTCAAAAATCATTATAAGATCACAAACTGCCCCAAAATAGCTATCAACATGGGACTGTGAGGTTGAACTAAATCTTTAAACTGAGGGTAAAGCGTTTCCATGTTGAGACCCAAGGGATTTTCCTGAGTTAGTTGGAGACTCTAGTAAACTGGAGTATTTCGTCACATACCCTAAATTAGTACAGAAAAATTTACCCAATGCTCTGATAGACTGTTTCAACAATTATTATCATCAAAAAATACAAGGGGTGCAAAGGCATCTGTGGCTTTGTACAGCTCAATTAAAACTCAATGACATTTAAGTGAGTTACTCAACATCTGTGTCAAAGTCCTTCTTTTGTGGGTATGAACAAGGACAGACATGTCACAGTGACATTTACCTGAACTGTGCAACTTAGCTCTAGAATCAATCGCTCTGGAACATCCCGACTAAGTTGCTATTGTTCAAGTGCAGGAACTTTAAAAACTCCGTAATCTTCCTCACGATGATTTTACATTTTATCAAGATTCTACATTAGGATGACCACAATGAACGGAGGTGTTATATTTAGCCCCCTCCAAAAACCCCCCAAGCCCAAATTTCCCTCCGTCCGCCAAAACGAACCCCGCAATGCTTTTCTGCCCGATCTCCGCGGCCGCGGCTCCGTGGTGCTGTCCGCGCCGGGAGCGCTGCGTTCTTCGGGCCGAGCAACAGCGCCGGCCGTGCTTGTGGAGAGAGCTGCCACAGGGCCACTTCCCATTTCTCATGCCCAAGTCTCAGCAGAACAGCTACAGCACCAGGTGTACCAAATTGGAGATGCAGCCAAGTTCCTCTTTCAGAGCAGCGAAATGAGAAGTAGCTCCATTTAGCCCAAGTTCCTTTACCATGCCATCCGGGCCACCCTGGCCGGGAGGGCGCTCCGAGTCCTCTCCCTGATCACATTACTTTCTTCTGCAGGGCGTCCATCCTGAGTGCAGGAGGCACACTGAGACACTGACCTGCTTATTTGTGTGGGGGATCTATCCATGAGTAGTATGATGCGAAAGCCAGGGGACAACGGGCATGGGGCTCAGGACAGAACGCCCCACACATGGCACCTTGGCACTTGGGGAAACCGCAGGGGCAGGGAGGTCCCTCTGCCTCTCCCACCTTCCTCCTCAGAGGCAGGTCAAAAACGCTCATTCCAGAGGTGCCCTCCCTGTACCCAGAGGAATGGAGTGTCCTTATCGCTGAAGACACAGGGACACAGAGAAGGCTCTGACTGGGCCTGGCTAAGCGTCCCAGTCTGCTGCTGTGAGGTCTGACCCCGTGTCCAATCCCTGCTCTGCACAACTGTCCGCTCTCCACCAAACTCAGCGTAAAAACACCCAGCTTTCCCTGCTTCTTTGGGTTATTTCTGAAGGTTCCCGTGTCATGTAAAAGTCATATCAAAGACATTGGTATGCTTTGCTCCTGTCAATCTGTTTTGATACAGGGGCCTCAGCCGTGAGCCTTGTGACCGGTCAGGCTAAGATATGACCTCTCCACAACATGGTAACCCTGAGGTTCAGGGTGACACGGCCAGTTTGGTGACCCAGCATGCGGGATCTACTCCAAGTGAGGGCATATGCCGTTACAGGTGGGTCTCTGCCTCAGTGAGTTCTCACTTCTTCCCCAAAATGAGTTATGCTGGAAGCCCTGAGGCCACTGACCCCAGGTGGCCCTGTCCCCGGTGTGCTCCGGCCAGGTGTACCTTGGCACAGCGGGCCACACTGCAGATGGAAAGCGGGTGCAGGCGGCCCTGGGCTGGTGGCAAAGGAGGCCCATCCCCCACCCCTCCCTGGACCCCACCCCTGCTCCAAGTCTAAAGATGTCAGGGGCTCTGGGACCTCAGGAGGGGGTGGGTTTGAAACCAAAGACCACCTTCACGTCATCTGCAATTAATACGCTCACAAGGCCTAACAGAGAAAAGCCATGGAACTATTTCTGCCATTTGCCCACCAACGTACGCCCATGTTGGCATGGAGTTCCTCGTCCCCGGCGAACCTCCCAACCCCACTGAGCGTCTCGTCACCCAGCTGTGCCTTTGCTGCCCGGCGTCCTCACAGCCTGCAAGAGAGCCGCCCCGACGTTCTCTTCCGCTTTACTGGGCACACCAGCGGTGGGATTCACAAGTGGACACGCAGCGAGCCTGTGGGCCTGGGGGTGACGGGGCTCTGAAAGGAAGGGACCCGGCTCACACGTGGAACAAAGACGAGCACACCAAAGGCCAAGCAGATGGCTTCCCAGCGTAGGTGACGTGAACAGTTAAATTACTAAGACATTATCTTAGGATCAAAATGCTTCAATGAAAATGGCATATTAAAAACATATAAATTACATTTAAGGTCTGTACATGATTCTTAAAAAAAATAACAATACTGTGTTCTGTACAATATTGCTTCCTTCGAACATTCCAAACCCAAGGAACACTTTCCCTTGAATCCCAGAAAAGTGGGCAAAATACGTATGCAGTATACTCAAAACCGTTTCACCAAAGTACAAAATTGTGTCGGTTTGCTTAAAGGCACATTTCGGTGTGATACAGGGAACTCCCATTTCAGAGGCGCTCGTTGTGTTTGTTTCCCGCTGGGCTGGCTGCGTGGGGAGGAGAGTGCCGGGGGCGGGGGGAGAAGCGGGGCCCGCCATCCTCAAACCGCAGCCACTGGCGGGAGGGCGGAAACCCAGGTGCCTCCTTGCCGCCTTCCGCACGCCTGTGATCCTGAGGTTTCAAATACTCGATCCATACACAACATGGAGTGAAGATGCTACATATTTTCCTGCAAAGCATTTGCTGCTCACTACCGACTACCACCAGGATAAATGCAGGCAGCGTCAGCGGTCCCCGTCCAGCGTCCGAGGATGTCGCGCTGCTCGGCGCTCCCAGGAGAGAGGGGCGGGCTTCACACCGCCAGCCTGCAAACCAGCTGCCAGCCGCGGGCCCGGTCACTGCTGGGTCCTTTATCTTCTCACGGCAGCTGAGGACCCCGTGGGGTCACGGGGGGACTTCTCTCCCCAGCCCCAAGCCCTGCCGCCCCTCAGGCTTCCAGTTGGCCTTGGGCCTCATCCACCTGCAGGGTGTCGTTGTCTCCCAGCAGCTCCGTCTCTGGGACGGAGCCTTCCTCTTCCTCTTCTGCCTCCTGCACGGGGCTCTGGGCCGCGTCTTCCGGGACATTGTGCATGTCCTCCGTGCCCTCTGAGAGCAGGGCCGCCCTGTCCGCCACGGACGCGTTGGAGGGCGCGGTGGTGACATAGCCCGTGCTGGTGGAGCCGCTGCCGCTGTGGTGCGAGCTGGGCTTGGGGACCATCTGGGCAGGCGCCTGCTGGGGGGCCACGTGCAGGGGGATCTGGACGGGGTAGAAGCCGGGCAGGTAGGGCCCATAGGCCGGCACTGGCTGGTAGCCGTTGACCGGGATGTAGAGCTGCGGCGGGGGCACCAGGGGCCTGACTGGGCCCTTCATGGGGATGAAGGCGGGCTGCGGGAAGGGCTGGGCCTTCTGCTTGGGCCCCTGGTAGCGGGCGTTGCTCACGTTGCTCACGGGGCTGGTGCTCAGCGAGCTGGTCTGCGTGGCGTTGCTGGCGCCCGAGGTCTGCGCCGAGCTGGTGCAGTTGGAGAGGCTGCCGCATGCCCGCAGCCGGCCGTGGAGGTCCTTGAAGCGGGGCCGCCGGCCGGGGAACTCGCTCCAGCACTCGACCATGAGGGCGTACACCCAGGCGGGGCAGTCGTCTGGGCAGGGCAGCAGCTGCCGGCTGCGCACCATCTCCACCACGTCCTGGTTGGAGTGCCCGCAATAGGGCTGCAGCCCGTAGCTGAAGACCTCCCACAGCACCACGCCGTAGGACCAGATGTCCGAGTCGGTGGAGAACTTGCCGAACGCGATCGCCTCCGGGGACATCCAGCGGATGGGCAGCAGCGAGTTCCCCAGCAGTTTGTAGTAATCGGCAGAATACACCTCTCGGAAGAGGCCCAGGTCTGAGATCTTCACGCTGAGCTTATCATACACGAGCACGTTGCGGGTGGCCAGGTCCTTGTGCACCACGTGGTGGCTGGACAGGTACTCCATCCCTGCCGCGATCTGCGCCGCCACGTGCACAAAGTCGGGGGGCTCCAGGGCAGATTTCACAGTGCGGTCATCGTCGGTGCTGCCCACGTCCGAGTGCGGTGAGCGCATGACCAGGAACTCGTGGAGGTCGCCGTGCGGGCAGTAGCCGAAGACCATGCTGAGGGGCTGGTCCTTTGTCACCACGCCCAGCAGGCAGACGATGTTGGGGTGCTGCAGCCGCGCCCGTAGCATGGCCTCATGCCGGAACTCCTCCCGGAGCGGCCCCTCTGCCTTGTCTTTCAGCGTTTTGATGGCGACAGCCTGGGTCTGCTCCCCAGGGGTAGGCCCGAACAGGTGGCCTTTGTAGACTTTCCCAAAGCGGTCTTCTCCCAGCTCCTCCAGGAACCTCACCGTCGACAGGCTGATCTCTTTGAGTTTGGCCTGCCAAGAAGAAAAGCCCCACGTGAAACGCTGCTGTCGTCCCAAGCCTGGAAGAAGGCGCAAGGCAGCTGGGAGGCAGCCCGGCAGGGGCAGAGGCCTGTGTGCCATGGCAGGCACAGCCCTGCAGGAGGCCACGTTCCCCCACCCGAGCCTCAGCCTGCCCCACGCAGCTCTCTGATCAGAGTCTCAAATACAGCTTGGGTGCCATGCCCCGCTCCTGTCTGAAACCCTGAACCGTCCCAGAGGCTACAAATTAGGTCCCTCCGAAGACGCCACTGCAGATACCCTTCCCATTCGGTGTGTGCGGGCAGCTGTCCTCTCTCTCTTTCACCCCCCCACCCTCGTAGCCCAGCCTGTGCACCAGCCGTCCCAGGGTCATCCTGGACTCGTCCAGCTGTGCTCCCTCCATCTCCCCTTGTGTGCCGCCATGTCACAGGGAAATGCCATGTCTTTTCTAATGGACTCCGCGGTGGCCCCCCCACGACTTTTTTGTCTTTCATGATTTTGTCACTTTTAGAGCCAGGCTAGCTCTTTTGCAGAGGGTCCCTCCTTAGGTCTGTCTCAGTTAAACGCCCTTTTGGCAGAAGCACCGTCAGGTGACGCAGACGCTGGAGCCCTGCAACTTCGTCAGCCTCCACGCCTGCTCCTTCTGTATGGCAGCCCTGTCCTTCCCGGAGGCTCCTGGACCTCCATGCAAGCCCCGGGGGCTCCGCGTCCTCCTCGCTGGCCAGGCCGTGCCCGCAGCAAACCCTCAGTGACCTCCTCGCTGAAGAGCCAAATTAGTCAGCTTCCCCGACCACCGTGGAGAGCCCGTCCAAGCTGGAGGGGACTGATGCTCCCCAGCAGCCTGCACCGAGCGAATGGCCCCTTCACTGCAGCCAGCAAGGCTGAGGGACGCTTTCTCATCTGCTGCCCTCCGAGAGGCCTCCCAGTGGTGGCCTGTCCCTCCTGCTCCCACTCAGAGACTGGTATTCCATCCTACCTTGAAAAGCAAAACAAAGCAAAACTAATTCAACCCCAAACTGACCAGAAACAGCTCCCAGTCCCTTTAGAATGCCATATAAACCTCAAATTTTGGGAGTGATTTGGACCCTCTTTTTCTTGTGTGTCCTGTGGGCAGAGCTGAGGCACCTGAACAGAGAGGTTGGTTTGCTGGGGCCCAGCAGAGCAGCACCGTCTGCTTAGGGGGAAGCCAGCCCATTGACTTGGGGGAGGTGAATTTCCAACACACCTGCCCTCACTGTCTAAGGACACACACATCTTGATAGAGTTTAAGAGAGGAAATGCAAAGCGGACGACAGATTAAAAGGATCACGTGTCATGTGTGCAGTAACTTAAGAAGCCTAATGTCATAGGCAGCTGGTCCCGGGATTAAACTCAAGGTTAAGCCCAGATGTGCCGCCTCATTAGAGAGCAGAAGCAGGGCGACCTGTTTGTGCTGGCCGATGAGAGGCATTTCCATGTCCTGGCTGGGCGAGGCCATGAGCTGCCGGCGTTGCGGTGAGGACGCAGAAGCCTTCTGCTTATTCCGGCACATGCAGACCAAGAAGAAAAGGCAAGCGATGACCAGCGGAATCGCGATGCTCGGAACCAGGATGTACAGAATCCCCATCTTGCTGCCGTCTTGGGGACCTGTGAACAACAATAAGGCTTCCATGATTTTTCAACAACACCCCCCCCCGACTCCCACCTCCAGCCAAAATATTTAACTGCAAATGGATAACCGATACATTACGGGAAGGGGCAAAACTGCACACCAAATCCCAGAAAAGGTGATGCACAAAAATTGCACATCCTGCTACAGACGAGTGGAACACAAGCCAAGGTGCTCCGCCTGTCTTATTCCCACCGAGGCCTCCTCAGCGACGGACGAGTCGGCGAAATATGCTGGACGCTTTGTGCTCGGTGCATGAAACTTGGTGCCGGGATTAGCAATCATCCTTTTCCTCATCAACATTTTAATGTGTTTTTTTCACATTTTTGTATAATGATAACATATTCTTTTAGAATACTAATTAAAAATGCATTTGATTTAAAAGAGCACTGGCAGTCCAGGAGTTTGTCCCAATACAACATGCAGCAGGGACACAAGAATTCTTTAAAAACGAGAGGCACAGTCTAGGCCTCCAGCCTGTTTCCTTCAGGGTCCAGTCTCAGTGAAAAGCTGCGCTTTGTCTCCCTCTGCAGGATTTACAGAAAGTCGCCGCGTGGCTCACCGCCCGCAGTGACACAGGCACTCGGCTGGTGGCTGGCTCCTCCCGGGCTGATGGCCCCGGAGCACCCAAAGCACCGGGGCACTTCGCAGCACCTGTATTCCAAGAGAAGGTGGCGCCATTTAAGGAGGCCGACCCCTCTCCTGTGTGTGGTAGAAAGCGAGCTCGCTCTCTGGAGGGCCACTTTCCCACAGCCCTGGGTTTTCTCCTTAACTCTGAAAATAACTACACCAGATGGCCCTATGATGGGGGACTGGAAACTAGCAAGTGATTTCTGGTCAATGGAATATCTAAAAGTGTTAATTCAGTTCTAAAAATGAACGCTCGGATTGCCACCTTAGGAACAAATCAAGTTGTCCCAAACTCAGTCTTACTCTACCCCGTCCCCACAAAATAAGATCAAATCAAAACTACAAACAAAACTGTCCCTCCCCCTGCCCCCCCAGGAGCTCCCCTTCTGAAAAGGTCCCCAAGGCAGATGTTCCAGAAGCCTTGGGGACAGCAGAGACTCTGGTTCACTTTTCATTATTGGGGTTAGGGGGAGATTCCACACCCCTCACGCAAGGTCAGAGATGTGAGCACTGTTCACACGTTTGCACGATCATCTGTTTTATTGCTATCTATTTAAAAATCACCAACGCTTACTGGGAAAAAATTGTACCATTACAGAAATGTGGGCTTCATAAAGTGAATATTCCTAATAGCCCCTTTCACCAAAGGATATCACATTGTTAATAGGTTCGTGTTCACCTAATTTTTTATGTATATTTTAGGTTAAACCACATGAAATAGCTGATATTCAACTATTTGACATACAGAAACAGTAGTTTCACGTGGTTTTCAAAAATAAAATTTTAAATAGACTTCACTTGCAAGATAATCATATCTTCCATATTGTTGTGCTCTGGTTTGTGGCATAATAAATTATCTCGGATAACATTTCACATCAGCACAGAGAGATCTGTGCATTCCGTAACAGATGTAACTATTCCATGGTATCAGCCTACTTCAACTGTCTGATCCAACCTCACTGATCAACGGTAAGTCTGTTCTGCATTTAGCTCTCACAAGTGATTATGCAATAAATATCTTTGCATGTCTGCCCTATGTGTGCAAATATTTCAGTAATATAAGATTCTAGGAATTGCCAGGCCAAAAAACATTTTTTCTTTATGTTTTGATTTATTTTTAATTACAAAAGTAATACCTACTCATTGTAAAAAAGTGTCTTATATCCAACGCTTGTGTAGGTCTGGGGAAATCTCTGCTATAAGTTTGGTGTGCATCTTTCCAAAACTTCACCCATGAAATTCAGGTGCCTGTGTATGCCCACACACAAGCACTTCAACTCACTCTGTTTTTTTTTTTTCACCAGAAACAAAACAAAACGTTAAATGGAAAAGCAGCCCTACCACAGCTCTTGCCCTGCAACCTGCTTTTTTTCCTGACAGGGCATCCTGGACATTCTTTCTTGCAGGCAACGGTTTTAAAGGGCTGGAGCGCTCCAGAGTGGCTATACTTCAATTTAACTACTGACACTTGCACTCTTAAGATCTATACCTGTAATGAACACAAATTCTTGAAGATCTGTGCGTGGACTGCTGAGCCAGAGGCAATGCCACATTTAGAGCTGCCAAGTCACACTTCCAGAAGGGAATTAAGGCCAGTTTCTACTCCTTGCCACGCAGGGTGGAGGCACATGGGGCCTGCGCCCGGGAGGAGGTCTGCGGGTGACGCGAGGCCCTGGGCTTGCTCCTCCCCTGGCAGATCTCTAGTCAGCGTCGCTCCCAGCTGAGTCTCGGCCATCGCCACTGGAGCTGCTGAAATGCTTGTGATCGAAACAGGGACAATAACCAGCGACGCTGTCAGCCAGTAGCTATGTGCTCTCCCCCATCACGCATGGTGTAACAGACACACTTGCATGACTGAGAGCCTCACTCCACCGAATCTACAGCAGCGAAAAGCTTCCAAGCTGGGGGTGGGAGCAACAGCGTTTTTACTAATATTGGGAAAAGCTGTGCACTAATGTTAACAGAGAAACGAAGTGCCAAAGCGAACATCCCAGGACCGTACACTGGAAAAGGGCTGACAGAAGGCTTGAAATGCAAACGGTAGTCACCTCTGATGGTAAAATTAGGGGTGCTCTGCACATTACTCTTCAGACTTTTCTGTATTTTAAAACAGCCTATAATATAATGGCCAGATATTACTTTTATACCCAGCAACAGCTTTATTTAAAACAAGCGATCATGGTGGCGAGATGGGGGTACGGTCCCCACCATAGCAAGGTGCCCAAGCCCCGGTCAGGACACAGCGCGCCCATCACAAGGTTCACTCAGCAGTCACCGCTTCGAAAGAAAAGAGAGGATACGTACTACACGAGGGTATGTCACACAGCTCCACGCGCACGTTTTTATTCTGTGTAAAGCACCAGGGGCCCTCCATCTGGCCTCCAGGGTTCCGGCAGTAGGCGTGACCCCCTCCGAGCTCGGGAAAGTCTGCGCTGGACAGGCGGTGGCTGTGGGGGTGCTGCAGGGCCCACGGCTGGCACTGGTGCCCCGACTTAGTGGTGCTCGCGGTGCCTCTGTAATCCGTGCCCGAGCCGTTGTAGCACTGGTGGTCTGAGAGAAGAGGACGTGTTAGGAAACCGCTGGGGGTACAGAGCTCATCCTTCTGCAACTCTTGCAGGAAGGAACAACAAAACCACTCTGCCTACATGTGCCCAAACTGGAATTTCCAAAAGACCAAAAGATTTTACCTAACTTCCAAGAACAGCAGCATTAAAAGAAGAAATGATTTAATAAAGTCCCAAGCCCACAAATTAAATGGAGGGTGCGTCAGGGAGGAAAACCTGTCAGAAGTTATTCCACAGAGAAAGACCTTCTGGGACCCGCCAGGCACCCTACACCCCCCACCCACCAAAATGAGGGTGTTAGCACTAACCTCAGGGCCACCTGCTCTAGGAGCGAAACTGGACCGTGCCGGCAGGAAAGGCCTGGCCCCTCCCTGGCCTGGCCCCTCCCAGGCAGAGGCCACCTTGCTCAGCAGAGTGAGGACGGCACCACCACTCCACCTCCACAGAGGTGAGCGCGCACTGGTTGAGCGTTTATGTAGCATTTACTGTGTGCAGGGCACTGTTCTAAGACCTTTGTAAAGATTAACTCATTTCATCTTCATTCCAGCTCCACGAGCTGAGTACTATTAGTATCCCCATGGAATAGGAGGAAACAGGAGTTTAAGCAACTTTCCGAGTCACAGTGAGTGCGCCTTGCAGCCAGGGTTAGGATGCACACAGTGGGGCCTGGAGACCAGGCCCGGGCTGTCCTGGTAAGGAGCCCTGCCCACTCCTGGAGCCCTCAGACTAGCCAAGGAAGCTAAATATAGCCCCAGAGCCTCAGAGGAAGGTGGCTGCTTCCCCAGGTCTCACCCCTCGTGGAGGGCGGAAACCCTGACATATTCAGTGACATGAGTCAATGGTTTCCCTTGGAGAAGTCAGCAGAATGACCTGTCCTGTGCCCTCCACCCACACACAGATGACCCACCCTGCCAGGGCTCACCATGTGGGGTTCATTGAGCCTCCAGAGAGCAGGAGCCACTCTGCTCCAGCAGAAGGGCAGTGGGGAGCATGCTCTCTGTCCTCTGCAGACCCCAGATGGGGTACACCCAAGCCTCAGGCTCAGAAGAATTAAATGGCCCCACTCTTACATCCATGTTGCAGGGAGCCGTGCAAAGGTGCCTGGAAAGGGGACGGACCTTCCATATTCCCTTGCCTAGTGACATCTGATAGTTACAGGTCCTTCTCCAGCTCCCACCAGGCCAGACATGGATCGTCTCCCTGTGTCTCAGACACATCCAGGGCGAAGAGTCCTACAGGTTTCTAGGGACTGTGCTCTGGGAGGTCTGGGGCAGGAGCTGAGAGTCTGAATTTTTCCAAAGGGCCCGCGGTTGACCGTCAGGCAGGTTTGGGGGCTGGCCCTGCGTCCTCTCATTGCATCCAATAGCCTTTTATGGCAGGATGGAAGATCACCCACACTTCAGAAAACAGACCTCAGGCTCAAGGAGGTGGAGGGACTTAACTTGAGCTGCAAAGATAAACACCCGCCAAACCCAAGTGCGGGCCTGGGGCTGAATGACTTCAAATCCCCCGCTCTGACTGCCCGAGGGTGTCCTAGAGGAACGGAGGCTGGCTAGGGGTTCCCGGCTGCCGGCAGGGCTCCCGGGCTTTACCGGCGGCCCCACGAACACGTGGGCGCGCCACGCTCGCTCGCGCCTGCCGGGCGGGGACTCACAGCGGCCCAGCCTCTCGGCCGGGATGCCGATGCGCATGCAGTTGGCTGCGTCGGGGCTCTCGGGCATGGGCAGCGCCTCGCACTTGGGCAGCTGCAGCCGCATGAGGATGAGCGGGTTGGAGCGCGCGATCGTGTACTCCTGGCGGCACAGGTCGCTCTCCAGCACCTCGCACTCGTCTCGGCACAGCTCGCGCGGCTTGGGCACCCGGGAGCGCGCGTCGCACAGCGGGAACACGAAGTGGCAGAACGACGGGATGGCGAACTGCGAGCACTGGTCCGACAGGTGCGTGGAGGTGCCGATCATGGTGAAGGCCGCTGCGAAGGCGCGAGACGGCGTTAGCTGCGGCCCGCCCCGAGCCCCGAAGCCCCATGCACCACCCACGCCCCGACCCCGGCGCCCCAGCCCCCACCCTGCACCCTGCCCCCGCTCCTCACCTGCCCTGCGCTCCTCACCTGCCCCCGCTCCTCACCTGCCCCGCGCCCACCCTCCGCGCTGCCCTCGGGCACTGCCCCGGGCGTGCATCTGCTCCGATTTGCAGCAGACACGGGAAGTCCCTGGTCGCAGGGCTGCACTACAAACATCAGAAGCAGAACAAGAAAGAAGGAAAACTGGGCCCAAGACCTCACTCAGCGAGACGCTTCTTGGTTCGAGCTTCAGATGCAAAAGCATTTCCTAAGGACCTAGCATGCGTGGGGAGCGCGGACCGAGGGCTCGCCGAGCCGGGCCTCCCCAGCCCCCGGGGCTGCCTGGGAAGAGGCGGGCGCTCAGCAGACGCAGCCGAGGGCCGGGCGAAATGCTGGGGCAGCTGGCAAAGCGGGCGGAGACAGAGCGTGGGAGACGGCGAGCTGGGGCAGGCCGGCATCACCAACCTGGAAGGGTTTTGCAACCGTGGGGGGCGGACGAACGGAGGACTTAGCGCCCCGCTGGGGGCCAGGACCCCCGCGGCTGCGGGCGAGGCCAGACCGCGAGGAGCGGAGCGCAGGAGCGGCCCGGGCAGGGCTCCAAAGGAGGCGGCGCCCGGCGCCCACGCCCCACCCCTGCCTGAGAAAACTGGCTGACAGCCACCGAGCTGGGACAGCTGAGGAGAGGCCCTGCTGCCCGCGCACCTGCTGAGGCCGCCCTCCGCCGGGGCAGGACCCAGAAGTGGGAGTTTGGTCCCGGGGGTGGGGGAACAGTGGCCCTGTCCCCGCACATTTACTCCCAGAGACCCGCCCGGGCAGCGCGGTCCTTGGCTCTGGGATAGTCACTCAGTCCCTCTGGGCCTGTTGCTTTACTTGTAGGGCGATTTGAGACCGCACACCGGGAGGGGAAGGTCCCTGCGGAGCCCATAAAGTGGCTGTGACATGATGTGCCCAGGGCTGGCCAGTCAGCCGCCGGCAGGGGTCTGGTAACAGGCCGTCAATGACAGGAGCGGCTGGCACTGCCCTAACCCAGTGCCGGGCACCACGATGCCCATCCATCGTCCTCACTACTCCGGATCCCCTGTGGCCGATCTTGGCGTTCAGGAGCAGAGAGCGCAAGAGGTTAAGGTCCAGGATGTGTGGGATTTGGTGGAGGAACTGAGATTTGAACCCAGTTTAATCTCATCGTTATGGATTTGTTGATTTCGGGGAGGGCTGTCAAAAATGCCCTCCAGGCAGGGAGAGGTTGTCTAAGAAAGCCAACCTGTCATTTCTCCCGGGCTAATCAACAGACGGGGCGTCACGGTGGGTCTTCAGAGGATTTCTCCTCTTCCTCTCATTCAGGATGTATCACTCGAGGGCTTATTTCTGAAACTACGGTTCTAGGCAGCAAGATGTGCAAGTCCTTGTGTTCGTCCACGCCCTGTCCACTGCTCTCCAAACAGAACATCACAACCAACGCGGTCTCTACTGTTCTTATTCCCACAAGTCAGTCAGTCAAGAGCAACTTCAAATTTCTTGTTTTCGAAAAGCCACGAATCTAGAGAATCCTCATTCTAACTTTTCTCTAAAATTGCCGTAAAAGACCGCATGGATATCTGAGTTGTTTGATCCCTTAACTCCCGAAGAAACCACCGAGGGGCAATCTTGTGCCTTGAACCAGTGTTTGCCAGTTAGTGGGATGCAACTGATCCGGGCGTCTACAGCTAGCGTGTTATAATCATGGAACAGACTAGAGGGTGCCAGAGTGCATGGGTCCCATTACGGTCTACAACTGACTTTTTCTTTGGTAAAATACAACTGAAGAGAAAACTCCGAGTGCACCGCCCTTGTGAAGGGTGAGTGCTGTTCCTCATACATAACCCATTTCAGTTCTGTGACGTGCACGTATGTGTAAACTAAGGCATGAGGTGAAGTACACTTTTACTGCATGTTGGGGTCAAAAACATTTGAGAAATTCTACTTTAAGTGACATAAAAAGCTTTTGCAGTGAGAGGTACCAACATTTTCAAAACCATCTCCCACTGGACCAGGATGGCACCTCCAAGTTCCTCTGTGTCTCCTGTCTGCCCTTCCACTTCCCACCGGACCCCTGTCCCTGTCCCCAGGGGACTCTGTGCCAGCATGAACCAGGCAGGCCCTTCTGTGACTGTGACCTTAGACCCTCTGGTCTGAGGGTGACCTGACCTTAGAAGGACATGTCGATGACACCAGGTGGGTTTCCAGCGTGGATCCCCATTCGTGCCCCTTCCTGGGGCAGCGTCCTGCACCACCCGCTGCCCCTGCAGAATCTCCTGGGAGCCCTGGCATCGGACACCATCGTCGAGTCTAATGGGTTGCCATGGTCAAGAGCTACTATGTAGAGGTGTTGGGCACCTGCCATCTGCACAAGATTTTTCTTGATCCTTATCGGGTCAGGAGAGAAGACATGTATGTGTTTGTGAATTAATTCCTCAAGAGGCTGAGGACCAGCAGCTTCTCATCTTGAAGGACCTGCCACATTTCTCTGACCCTGAACCAGGTACCTGAAGACCTGGCTTTGTTCTCTGCATCCACGGCAGTGTCCCCACCACCCATGACCAGCAACCCTCCCTCCTAAACAGCTGCTGTCAGGCCCATGTACCTTTGGACCAGACACAGCTCAGAGAAGGTACAAGACGAAAGCAGAACAAGGAGAAGTCAAGCAAGCAGAGTGAGCGCACAGGCACGAGGGCTGCCTGTGCCAGCGTGGCCAGCCCAGGACAGGAGCTCTGGCCATGCAGTGAGGATGGTGCTTTGCACCTGTATGGTTTGGCCGAATTAAAGAGTGCAGAAGTATACTCTAAGCAACTTGCACTTGCTAATTAAACATACAAGTTGGAAACATTTTCGGGCAAATGTCAGCAACTACAACTGCTTCTAATAAAGATCTTAGATTTTCTATTGCAAGTGAGATGGAAGAGGGACCCACTGTCTGTGCCACTAACTGATGAAACACACAGTGGCCACTGTACATGTGCGTACTGTCTGGTGAGAAGTGAGAAAGGTGTATGGCTCCTACCTGTGATTCGGTTTTCGATCTCCCCCTGCATCTGAAGCGAGTCCACATAAATGGTGCGGTTCCCGATGAAGCGCGCGCAGGCGATTCCCCGGTAAGGCTGGCAGAACCCGTCCTCGTGGGAGTCGTCCCTGGAGAAGACACACAGAGGCTGTAAGTGCACTGGGAGGTGCCAAGTGTTGCCCAGTGATTCTTTTTTTAATCCAGCCTTTTACCATCTAGCAATTTTGTTAGTTGGCATTTATCCAAATAAGTCAAAAACTCAACTATACACAAAAAACCTGCACATAAATGTTTATAGCACCTTTACTCATAAGTGCAACCAAGATGTCCTTCAGTAGGTGAATGTACAAACTGTGCTGTATCTGGACACTGGCATATCATTCAGCGCTGAAAAGAAATGAGCTATTGAGCCACGAAAAGACACGGAGGAACCTTAAATGAATATTACAGGTGAAATGAGCCAATCTGAAAAGGCTACAGACTGTGTGTCTCCAACTATATGATGTCCTAGAAAAGACAAAACTATGAAGACGGTAAAGAGACCAGCGGAAGCCAGGGGTGTTGGCGGGGCAGTGGGGTGGCCGCGAGGAGCACGGAGGGGTTTAGGGCAGTGAAGCTGCTCCGTGTGAGACCACAAGGGGCACACGTGTCACCACACACTGGCCAAAGCCCATAGAAGGTAAAGCGCAGAGTCGGCCCTCACGCGAACTGCCAACTTCAGTTAGCGACGAGGTACAGTATGGGCTTGCGCGCCGGAGTGAACGTGCCGCGGCAGTGCAGGACGTCAGCCACGGGGAAACGTGGCAGGGAAGGCGGAGGAGGGTGCACGGGAACTCTGGACTTTCTGCTCAATTTTTCTATAAACCTTACACTGCTCTAAAAAATAAAGTCTATTAATTAAAAAATATTCAGAATGTTTAAGGGAGTATGGAACAAGAGGAGAAGTAACTAGGGGTGAAGACGTTATCAAGGTGAAGTGCACACATGGGTGGGTAGGGGTTTATGTACACGCACCACATCAAACATTAAACATGTTTCATCTTACCCTTGAACTACGTCAGAGACACTGTGGCACAGCCCCACACAAATGTCCATTGTTTGCAAACAAGGCTTTTAGGAAAATGGTGATAATCCAGAAGGTGTGTTCTACCATTAAATCACCGGAGAGAAATCTTTGGAAAGGAGAAAAGCAATATACAAATGTCTCTTCTACTGTATTCAAAGGCAATGGAAGGGACTCCAAGGATTCCCAGGACGACGGGCGTGCTCATCACTCGCAGAGACGTGACCTGGCCCCGCCATGTCACAGCACAGACCGCCTGCAGCCCACTGCTCCCCTCCTGCCCCCGTCCAACTGTGCTGGTCCCTGTAGGGACAGCCTGCACTGAAGGGAAGGGGACACAATGCTCCCCTGAGCCCCCGGCTTGGAGTTTGTGCTAAATTCTTTTCTGCAGAACCTGTCACTCCGGCTTCAGCTGACGAGATCCATCCTCGTCAGTACTCTGGTGCATTTCCAAGTGGCATTCAGGATCTTCCCAGGAGTCACCAGGGGCTACGGCAGACACGGCAGTGCTGCCACTGCGGGGACTGGCAGGGGAGTGCTTCCAGGGCAAGCGTCTCACAAGCACCTCAGGCCGGTAATTTAATGGCTTGTTTTCTAGCAAATTTGGAACCTTCCCCGTAAGCCTGAGAACACGTGTCTTTCCACCCCACATGGATTTAGACCATCCGCAAATGAAATCTGGGTTGTGTTCAGTTTAACCAAATGGACTGAAAATCCCTATCTGAGCTCTCACCACGGCCAAGGCTACACACTTGCAATAGCAAAGACCTTCTCCAGCCCCTGAGGAAAAGCTCCTTCTTAAAGAAAAGAACCTGCAGCCATAAGTAATCCAAATAAGATTTTGGTGTCAACAGAGCAGGATGCCCTTCTCCCCAGCTCCCAGCTGTTACGTCTTTGGGTCAACGGTTCCTTAAATGTAGTTTAAACGCAGGCAAGCACTCCTGTTAACACCACTGGCCTCGCCCATCCCTCTTTCACTCTTTGTGAGCTGGAGTTAACTGCTGATTAGACACTGGCCGAAAACACCAACATAAACCAAAGTCACCTTGTCTGAGTGTGTGTAGGACATGCGCCATCTGTAGCTGGGCTCAGAGTGCGAGCTCACTCTGCCAGAAAAATCATTAAGACATGCTGGTCAGATTAACTTCAGCTCTGCCTAGGGTAGGAGATTCAGTTCAGTCCCCTGGGGTGAGCCCATACGAGTGAGCAATCTCTCTTCTACCCTGCAGAGTCTGGGAAGACAAAGCTGGGCCCCTGGCTGCAGGCTTCTCTCCAGCCACTGGCCAGGTGCCCACAAGAAGGGGAGGTACAGGCAGGGTGGCAAGGGGGTGCTGAGAAGGAGCTCAGGCCACCATCTCACCTACAGGTCACTCTGGGCTTCCAGTCTGGATGGAGAATGTCCACAGAAGTGGTTGGAAAATGACACCCTATAGGCTTTTGAATTTTGAGAGAACGAGTGGGAATTACTTTCTATTCCTATAATTCAAACAGAATTATGTATTATCTTCACCTGGCTTGGTCTGGGAGCTCTGATGAGTAACAGCTGGAGAAGTCTGTGAAATGGGTCACTTGGAGACCAAGGAAAGGGCTGAGACAGAATTTGACATCTGTAAACTGCTGCAGCAACGTTGGTGAAACAGACGTGCTTGCCGATGGTAGAGCAGGCGCGTTACGGAAATGCAATCCGAAAATCTCCTGCCCCGATGCTGCCAGGCACTGATCCGAGGACTAATGACACACGGACGAAGAAGAAACTTCTACACCAAGAAGTTACTGTCACGGAGAAGTGTAAATAACTACAATGCTGGGTAAGAAAAGCAACAGGAAAGGAGGAGGAGCTTGGCAGGAGACCCAGGGGAAAGAACCACCAGGCTGTGACAGATCCAGCTCCTCCACAGAGGCGGGAGGTGGTGGGCGGAGCCACACCTCCTCCAAATGGCATGTGCTTAAGTGAGAATTAGCTTGAAGAAAATCTTAGATAAATTCATGGATGGAAATAATGAACGAGCTTAAAGGAAACTAAGGCTTTTTTAAGGTTGAAAAGTAATCAATGTCAAAATTCAAATGTAGTTACACATTGTATAGGAAGTTAACATTTTTCCTCCAAACACTATTTTGTTAAAAAGTAGTAAACAATGTTCACGACTGTTATTCTTAGCGAGAGAGAGCCTGCCGGAGCGAAGCAGAGGACGCTGCATCTGCAACTCAGCGGGAGGCAGAGCAAGCGGCCACGCTCACCAAGCCGGCAGCTGGGACGCCCTGCGCTGCAGGGGAGCTGGCGGCAATTTAACGCACTGCTGCGCCGCACTCAGCGCCCTCCACAGAAAGATGCACGGTCCACAGTACAAACCACAACGTCCAGTGTACAATAAAAAGGTACCAGACATGCAAAGAAACAGGAAAATATAACCCCGCTCAAGAGAAACAAACCCAAAGATGATTCACGTGTTAGACTCAGCAGACTAGGACTTTAAGGTTGGTAAACAAAACACAGAAGAAGGAATAAGGAAAATGTGGGGTATTTCAAGAGATAGAAATTTTAAAAGAAGAACTAAATGAGAAGACTAGAACTGAAACATACAGTGTCCACAATAAAATATCCATTGATGGTACAGTCACGAGCCACATAATGATGCTTCTGTCACCAATGGACTACATATATGATGGTGGCTCTGTAAGACAGTAACAGAGCTGAAAAATTCCTCCCATTGCCCAGTGACATAGTAGCTGTCATAACATGGCAGTGCAGGCACTTCATGTTTCACAAATTTAGTGTAGCCTAAGTATACAGTGTTTATAAAGTCTACAGCAGTGTGCAGTAACGTCCCAGGCCCTCACACTCACCTCTCACCCACTGACTCTCCCAGACCAACTTCCAGTCCCGCCAACTCCGTTTAAGATAGGTGTCCTATACAGGTGTGCCATTTTTCATCTTTTATACTGTATTTTTATTGTATGTTTTTACATTTAGATGTGTTCAGATACAGAAATACTTACCATTGTGTTACAGTTGGTTCCAGTGTTTGGTGCAGTAACATGCTGTACAGGTGTATGACCTAGGAGCACAGGCTACCCCGTACAGCCTAGGGGTGCAGTAGGCTGTACCACCAAGGTTTGTGTAAGTACACTCTGTGGCATTTATGCAATGACAGAATTGTCCAATGATGCATTTCTTAGAACATATCCTTGTCATTAAGTGACACATGATGGTATTTACAAGAGAGTGGCTAAGACAAAAGAAAAAAACTTGTGAACTTGAAGACAGGTCAGTAGGAAAATTTCCAAACTGAAGCAAAGAGACAAAAAGATTTACAAGAAGCAAAGAGAGCCTCAGTGACCTCTTAGAAAAAGTAACTTATGTGGAATCAAGATCACAGAGTCAGGAAACATGTTTAAAGAAATAATGGCCAAAACATTTCCAGATTTGATTAAAAAAAACAGTAATACACTGGTCAAGGTATATCAGTGAAGCCCAAACAATATGTGACTAAGGAAGTCATGACTACACACATCACCGTCAACCTGTTAAAAATCTAATAGAAAAGGAAAAACATGAGAGATAACAGCCAGTCACTCATCACAAACAAGTGTAACAGAAGACAAGGGAATGACACTATAACGTCTCTGCTAGAAGAGAAAATGAACTGTCAACCCAAAATTCCATACCCAGCAAAAACGACTTTTAAATAAAAACGTCTATTAAACATGAATGTACTTAATATCAGAGCTTTAAAATACATAAACAAAAACTGACAAAACTAGAGGACAAAATAGAAAAATCCACCATTATAGGTGGAAATTTTAATACCCATCCCCTAGCAATCAGTGGCATTAGACAAAACAACAGAGAAACAGAAGAGTGCACAGACATTAACCACCACCCTGACCTAATAGACATCTGCGGAACAATATACCCAGCGTGAACAGAACACACAGCCTTTCAATGCACATAGATAGAATGTTCACCCTGAAATTAAATTGGAAATCCATTAAAAAAATATTTTAAAACTCCTCAAGCATTTGGAAAATAAATAGCACTCTTCTGAATAACTTTTAGGCCCAAGA